TTATTTGACCAAAATGTAAAAAATAATATTGCTGTTCATTGTATCATTCATTCTTCCTGACAAACTAAATGAAACGTAAGTACTGGCACTCATTAGAAAAACAAAACCAGCTAATGTTATAAATGAAGCATGTAAGAAATTATACGTTATGTTAAACATCTTTTGGTCACAACTGATTTTTACTATACAGATCCTACTGAATCTTGTGATTAAAAAAAAGCCCAAACGGTAACCATAGCAAACGCAGCTAAGTATCTAATCTGAAATTTTCTATGCATCTTGAAAGAGCTCAACTCTTTTTTTTCTTGGTCTATTAGTTGTTTTTGTTGTAAAGAAAATTATTAAGTAAAAAGTTGTAAACTATTTATAAATTAGAGTACAAACGTGGAGTATGTATGTTTCTGTTATATATTAATTTAAAAAATTGTACTTAGTACTCAAATTCTTTGGTCTCTTTTCGTGGAACTGATTAATTGACCAAATACTCATTGAGTGCTTTATTAACTACTGGGGAAACAATAATAAATAGAACACATTAGTGTCTGCTTTGAAGAGCTTGACAATCTGATTGGTGAAGCGAACAGGCAAATGGATGGGCAGTTACTGCGCAGTGGGGAGCATGCTGCCAGAAGTGCCTGGGACCAGAGGGGAAATGTTTCGTGCAGTCTTAAGGGGATGCTGTCCCTTACTGACGAGGGTTGTCCTTCAAAATTTTTAAGTGGTCTTTACGTTTTTAAAGTATTAATTGCATACGGGTAGAAAAATTCAAGTAGCCTATCAAGCAAGCTCTAAAATGCAAAGTTAGTCTTTTTTCTCTCATTTTTCAAAAACAACTCTCCAGAGGTTAACTTTTTTTTTTTTTACTTCTTTGTTTTTGAGGTTATTTCGGTACTTAACACCATTACAGTTCTGCATACTTTTATAATTTTCTTTTTCACTTTAGTATCTTTAGACTGAGTCTCTTTACCTGAGACAGCGATTCTTCAGGTCTAGTCCAAGCACTTGGGGTGGGGGGGTGTCCCTGTCGCTCTGTGCAGGGTCTGCTGGATCTTTCCTTTTCCGGTTATATAACCGTGTGAGGCTGACTCGTCTCCCTGTGCTTTGGCAGAACAGCGCATTGCAGCAGATTGAAGGCAGATGCAGATGTGAGAATTCAGTTGTCTTCTGTTAAGCCCCCCACGAAAGGGATTTACAGAAATACAGAACTGCGCTCATTTCACTTAATTTCATGTTCTTTGGAGATGATAGTTCTCCAATAAAAATAGGTTCTTTATATTAACTTGTAATGGGTTTTTTATTTGAAATAAATTTAAAAATAAGTTTAAAATTCTTCTTTAAATTTCAAATATGGTGTATAGCTCTTTCCCACATACCTGTCTACCTAGCTCTCTATATATCAATATGTATCTATGTCTGTATCTATATATAGAATCCACATAAGTATTTGGGGGACAAGTCCTCCGTACATTTTTGAACTATAAAGGGGTCCTGAGACTGAAAAACTTGAGAGCCTCTGACCTAAGGTTATGTCTTTCATGAGGATTTAGCCCAACATCCCAGTCTCCCTTTCATCACTTGCCTTTTACTGGCTGTGTTTTCAGTTTTATTATTATCGTAAAGGTTACCAGCACCTACATGTGGTGCTTTTTCTGTAAGTTAAATTATAAACATGTAAACCCTCTGGGAACGCAGAATCAGTATTACAATGCTGCAGATACTCGCTGAGGACTCAGCGCGCTGAGATCAGCTGGCGTGGAGGCAGAAATACACCTTCGTTCCCTAGGCTCCCGCTGTGCGAAGAACCGAGCCTCAAGATCCGATAAGTTTCCTTAATACCTACTTAAGAAAAGCGCATATACTCTTTCTCGTATTTCTTTTTTGTACTGCTAAAGGAATTCCTTGAGTAACTTTCCGTGCGTGGCACCGTAATTAGTAAACTTTCAGAGTTCTTAACGTGTTTCAACATCACCCTCACGTTTGATGGATGGTCGGATACCCATGTCAATGTTCAGATTTGTTTTCCTTTGAGTCTCAAAGTCACTGTTTCCTAGAGAATCAGCGGTCTTGTAATAAGAGGTCTGCTGTCTGTTTGGCTTTTGTATCTTCAGAGGCATTTGTTTTTCCTTTCTGGAAGCCACCAAAATGTGCTTTCTACTCCTGCTGTTTTGAAATTTCACAAGGCTATTTAGGTAGTCAGGGACTTTGAATTTACACTGCTTGTCTCCCTGCGGGTCATGTGTGCCTTCACCTGCGGGCATGTTCTTCAGTCATTTATTTCGTCTTCTCTATTTTCTCTTAGATATTTGTTCAGCTTCAGTCAGACGGACGTTAGTCCTGCTGGATGTGTTGCGTTTCTCTCCTTTACTCTTTCTCGCTGTTAGTCTCCCGTTTTCCTTATCGTTACATTGATCTCGTTAAGTCTTACCAAAATCATTTTTACAAAATTCTTTTCAATTATTTGGGTTATTATATCTTTAATTTCAGGGAGGGTTTTTTTTTTTCATTCTGATTTTTCATTTTTCTAGTATTCTGAAGTTGCTTTATGGCTAAAATATTTTCCTGAGATTCCCTGAAGGATATTGATTAGATTTTTGACATGTTTTCTTCCCTTCCTAGGCCCTCAGTAAGGACATACTAGGTTGTTTAGCAGAAAGTGACTGATTCTCCTGTGTGGCTGTTACGTCTTTTTCCTTCAAGCTCCCTCCCCTGGGGGGGAGCTGATGGTGGCGTGTGAGTCAGCGAATGGGCCCTGTAACGAGCTTTCCTGTGGCATGCCTGGGTGTGGGAGGCAGTTTGGGGTCCCCTAACTGCCAGAGTAATAAGGACTTCCCTTTGGGGGCAGAGTTTAATTATCACACGTATTCAGGAAGTGGTGCCGTGTAGCGCTCACTGCGGGGATCGTGACACTAATAACAGCGGACACTTTCTGAGTGGTCGATACGTACCGTGTGCTTTTCTGAGTCTTCTGTGCATTTGACATTTTTTACTCTTCGAGGCAATCTGATACTGAAACTGAAGCACAGAGAGGTTAAAGCTCAGTAGGAGGGTAACTGGGTTTTTAAACCAGACAGTCTGATTGTAGCGCCACTTAACCACTGAACAAACGCCCTTCTGAGGAAGGAACAATGTAGAAGATGAATGATTTTCAAGGAGGTTGTTGTTCACTATTATGTTTCTTATTTATAGAAAAGTTTGGTCTCTTCATCGAGAGATCTTGTACCTCTGTCTCCGTAGGCACTCTCTGACTAAGTTTTTATGTATTTTTTACTATGAAGTTGTTTTAGTAGCATGGATTCTAACTGCAGTCATTTTACCTACAGTTTATTCCAATGCCTGTTCTGTACGGCGTTTTCCTTTATATGGGCGTTTCCTCATTAAAAGGAATCCAGGCAAGTCTTAAATATTTAATGATTTTGCAGGAAAACTTAAATATTTTATATTTGCAAAGGTTGTTTTTGTATTGATTTATTCTGTACTTACGTATTTTGGGGGCAGGCGAACTATGACTTCAGATCCACATTTTTAAAGTAATTATTGCTTACTGCACCCCCCCCACCCCGAGAATGAGATCATGACCTGGTATGTCCTTTTCCTATTTTTAATTGGAGCTACTGAAAGGTAAACTATTAATAAAGACTTGTATAGTGAGAGGGAGGATCAAAAGGTTTGGAACGGACACAAATGCCGTTTGTGACACGTTAGAACAGCAATTTCAGTTGCTTAAAAAGAAAACGTACATAAACTTGTTTTCTGTAACAATGGTACTTACCGGCCGTTTGTCTGGTGCAGCACAGTTTATAAAGTCTAGTGCGGAAATGATTTTCTGTGATCCTCCAAACAACCTTGGGAAACAGGAAAGGAGGAAATACTGATTTTGTTCATCATGAAACAAACAAAAACTTACTAAAAGTTTTTAACCACGTAAGCAATGGAGCCAGACTAGTATCCAGTGTTTTCACTAATCTGGTTTGTATTACTTATAGTATTTCTTGGGAAATAGCCTGATAGAACTTATGAAGACTTGTCTGAATCCAGCCTTAAGGGCGGCTCCTCGGGCAGGGCTAGGGCCCCATGCCCTCCTCCAGGCTGAAGTGTGTTGTCTCCAGTTGCCAGCTAGTGGCGGCGAGGCCTCTCAGAGGCAACTTCTTTATTTTTTAAATGACACAGTTCAGGGTCTACTCTCCACTGGTCAAGAAATGATCTCATTAACTCACTTGATTATTTTACAACAATTCTGTGAGGTATTGAGGGCCGATCTTACTCCACAGATAAATGACGAAATTAAAGTTCAAAAAGACTAAGAAATGGACTCACAGTTTTCCTTTTCAACGGGTGAAAAATTGTTCATTGTTACCTCAGGTTATTGTCATAAAATTGTAATGTTAGATTTAGAAAGAACCTTAGGAGAGTGTTACTCTTTTATTTTACATAGCAGAAAACAAGTTCAAAGGGATTAAATGATTTGTGCGTTTGGTTATAGCAGAGAAATTTATCTAAATATTTTAATCCCCCAGATCAAAGCACTTTGACTTTTTTCTGATGAATGAATTAGCCATTCAAATGGTTGTCTTGATTTTTTTTTTTTTCCTCCTTGGATCAAGATGTTGTATGCTGAAACATTATCCTGTGCTGTCATAACATAGTTACAGGTTAAATCACAGAAACCTACAGTAGAATATAATTTCTTTTCCTAAGTAGCAGAATTGGGGTCTTTGTTAAAAAACTTTTCTTGTTGTGTTTTACACTCAAAACATAGTTTTTTGACCGTATAAAACTGTTTGGGATGCCTGCTAAGCACCAGCCCGATTTGATATACCTCCGCTACGTGCCTCTGTGGAAGGTCCACGTCTTTACAGTCATGCAGCTCACCTGCCTGGTCCTCCTGTGGGTGATAAAGGCTTCAGCTGCCGCAGTGGTTTTTCCTATGATGGTAAGGTGTTTTTTGCTTCTTTTCTGTGTTTTGACAGTAATTACCTTATTAATGTTTCTAATTGACTTTAAGAAAAGGAAGAGCCCATTTTAAGCGCCTCAGGTGTTTTGAAATGTGAGTCAGCCCTTTCTGGCTATGAAACCAATCATTTTGAGAATTGCTTGTCATTTTCTAAATTTTGGTTTGTTTTGATGTTTAGTCCTTGGACTATAGAATGCTGTTTTGTATTTTTACACAACTCCAGCATTTAGGATGTCTGTGGAACAAATATGATAGTCAGATGTAAAAAGGAAAGCAACCAGAACAAATGGTTCTTTAATAGGGTATTTCAGTCCATCTTTTTCATAAACGAATAGATCTAGAAGGTAAAACGTAATGAAGATTGTAGGTGATATTAGTAAGAGTCAATATAATTCATTAAGTTATCACATTACAAAATTGCATTTTGCAAATAGGGACTGTTTATCCTTTTATAAGTATTATATAAAACTTGGTTATGTACATGGCCACAAACAAAATCCTTAAAAATTGAAAAGCTGTAAATTTATGTAGGTAATACTCCCTGATCACAAATAAATTAAATTACATACGAATACTGAAAAGTCACTAAAAAATCTTGCATGCAGAAATTAAATTCTGAAATAAGCCTTGGGTGGAAAATTGAATTAAAAAAACATTGTGGAGGAATTGAAATGAATAACTTCTAGTCTATGAGCAGAGAAGTTATGCTCAGAGGAAAATGTATACCCTTCATTGCCCTCATTCAAGAAGACTTAAAATAAATGCAACCAAATTGCTTATTTGTAAAGCTAAATAATGGATAAACTCCTAAGTGAAGAAGAAAATGGGAGAGCAGAATACACAAGGCTAAGAAAGAGAAAAGATGTCTAACCACAGCTATGGGAGAGGGTCATGGGGTTTTAAGAAAGTGGTACGTGAATCTACAGCGATGAATATGAACACCTAGAGGAGAGGTCAACAAACTTGTATGTAAAGGGTCATATAGTAAATATTTTTGGCTTTGTAGGCCTTCAGAACATCACACAGGTGCATATATTCAGCAAGAGAGAGGTTTTCACAATTTTTTATTGATAAAATTCAAAAAATAATTGTACAGGTTTTTTCCATTTTTTAATGGAAGACTACGAATGGAAGTTTTTCGTTTGGGATAATGTGCCACCTAATTGGAGTTCTCAGCTCGTGTTCCTATCATCAGATCAGCTCTGAATGTTCATCTATAAAAGCTGTGCTTAGCTCACAGGCCACACAGAGCAAGTGGCGGAGTGGACCTAACGCAGGGGCTCGTGGTTCGCCTGCCCCTGATGTGGAGAGAAAAGCCCCCTGCTTACTGCTGTTCTTTGACGTAACCTGACAGTTCCAACTGTAAGATAGGAATAATATAGTAACTGGTGTAAAGAGGACATAACATTTTTGTCAATAATGTGATTGTGTAACTGAATCCAAATCACTCAAAAAAGCCTAAAAACTCTAACAGAATTAATAAGAATTTTGTTAGGATGGCTGGATACAAGAAAATATGGGGATTAGTGTACAGGCTCTAGCTTAGTAATGATTCTAAAACTGGAAATGGAAAAAATCATATTCATAGTAGTGATCAAACACTATAAAATACTTCAGAATAAATTTAAAAGGAGAAACCTATTTAAAGAAAAAAAAGAGCTTTATAATAGTATTTGTGTTAGTTTCTTAGGGCTGCTGTAACAAAGTGTCACAAACTCATTTGCTTAAAGCAGCAGAAATGTGTGTATCACAGTTTTGGAGGCCAGATGTCAGAAATCAACATGTGGACAGGACCCTGCTCCCTCCGAACCCCACAGGGGATTCCTTTGCCCTTTCTAGTTCTGATGGTTTGCCGGCAGCCGTTGGCGTTCCTTGGCTAGCAGCTGCACAACTCCAGTCTGAATTCCTCATTGCAAGTCTTCTCCCTGTGTCTTCACACGAACGTTTGATGAGGACAGGAGACATACTGTGTTAGGAACCCATTCTCTCCAGGATGACCGGCCTCATGTTAATTAATTACATCTGCAACTACCCTAGCTAATCACATCTGCAACAAACGTAATTAATTGCATCTGCAACAACCCTATTTCCAAATAAAGCCATAGTAAGAGGCACTAGAGGCTGGGACTCAAATAAGATTTTCATGGGGGACACAATTCAACCCATAACAATACTGAAGGACACAAAATTAAGACCTGAACAGGTAGATATACTATGTTCTTTGTTTTGCATACATAGTATTATGAAAACTCACTTCCAAGTATGATGTTTACTAGTTTTATTTGTGTGTTTGTGTGTGGTGGAGGTGGGTTTTGGTGTGAGCTGGGTGATTTTAAAGTTCATAGAGAAAAATGGATACCAGAGCCACAACAATACGGATGGTGAAAGTGTTCTGTATCTTTTCTGGATGTGGGTTATAAGATTACATACATTTTTCAAAAGCAGCAAAATATGCACCTGATATTTTTCTGTTTTATAATATACAAATTATATATTAATGAGAAAATAAAGATATAATAGAGAGTAGAGCATAACAAAACAGAGGTAATTGTAATTCAAAATTCCTGGCTGGGTCCAGGGGTGAGGGACTTGACTGTCCCTGTGCTGATACCACAGTGTTTTGATAACTGAATATTTAAAAGTTTCTGTCAAATCAGTGTAGATAATGCAGTGTGAAATTGACATGGGAATCGACAAGTGGATAAGAAAAAGAGACTAATGATTCCAGAAATTTATCAGGATATTTGCAAATTTGCCACTTGAATAATATAAGTGGACTATTTCATCAAAGGCGGTAATTTATTTAAGTGGGGAACTTTAGTATATAGTGTTAGAAGATTTGACTGCATACTGGGAGCTATATAAAGTTACTACATGATGTCAGATTCAGAAAGAAATAGTCAGAATTTAAATGTTAAATTGTAGTAGAAAATTTCAAAGATTGTTTATATAATCCAGTGATTGAGGGTAACTTTTCAAAGAAGGCAGGGAAACCCAAGAGTGAAAGAAAGATGGTATATTTGACCAAGTGATAATTCAATGTTTTGTATATCTATAGTAAAATCAGATTGTGAATGGGGAGAAAATATTTGTAACATTTAAGATAAAGTGTTGCTATCCAAACCACACAACTTTGAGGAATTCACAAACAGAAGTCATAAAAACCAATTGAAAAAACAGGCAAAAGATAGGAAATAGTAAGAGCAGAAGAGGAAATCCAGATGCCCAGTGAACATTTTAGAACGTCTTCAACCTTAGCATCAGTTAAAAGAAAAGCAAATGAAAGTAATATGTCTTTTTCACAGATACGATTGGAAAGTTAAAACCTAATGCTGGAAAATGGATTCTCTAATGCTTAAGGGATTTAAAAAATTATATCTACTTATATAATATGTATAATGTAATGTCATCATAAACATTAATAATCTTGTACTGTGAAGATACTCATCATGCTTAATCTGCTTTGTAATTTTATGCAGAATGTGAGGGATTTATATAGGAAAAGGCTAAAAATGTCATTTCCTTTATTTCTTTGAGCAGAAAGTTGGAAAAGGTAAGTGACTCCGTTTCTTGAAATAAGAAGTATTTTAAAATAAAAGACATGAAGCTACTTTTTTACTGTTTATGATTTATTAAATACTTTTTCTCTGAGTGATATAATTTCTGTATTTTTAGACGGTACTTAATATTCTCTCCCCCGCTTTTTAAAGGTTCTTGCACTAGTCTTTGTACGCAAACTCATGGATCTGTGTTTCACAAAGAGAGAACTTAGTTGGCTTGATGATCTCATGCCAGAAAGTAAGAAAAAGAAAGAAGACGACAAAAAGAAAAAAGAGAAAGAGGTAAAAAAAAAAAAAAGCCAAGAATTTTAAACGTGCACCATTCTTTTGTTTAATGTTTTGTACCAATTAGCAGACACTATTGCCGTCACTGTAATGGAAATCCACTCCTCCTGTCTTCCTAATAACGTTATTATTGTAAAGTGCAGCTTCTTGTCTTATCCGCAGTTTACAAATTAGGAAACTGAGAGGGTGAGAGAGAGAGGTTGGTAGGTAACTTGTTCTAAATATAGGTTCTTAACCCATTTTACCAACTTGCCCTTATCCTTTCCACAAAATTCTTTAAAAAAAATTTGTGTATCATGTATTCTTAATCAACAGTCAGAAGAATTTAGCACTGTTAAAGTGTAAGTAACAAAATAATTCTACATCATAGCCTACCATCTATTTTAACCTTCAGTACATAACTACATTTTAGCATGCATTTTTATTTTAGCAGCATTTCAGTAATCTGGCATAGATAAGGACAAAAAGGACTTCTAAGTAAACATCTTTTTACAGAAAGTATAGTGAAACTTTAGTTTTTATATCCAAAGTTAGGTACCATTAGTTGATACATATGCTGAGATTTACATGAATACTCTATTCTGAATTTGATTTTTTTTTTAATGACCAGCTCAATGCTATGACTTAGTAAGAAGGAAAAATAGCCACTCCAGTATGTAGCATAGATGATATTGTTGATTTTAGTGCCTCCCTCAGTTTCCCCATTCAGAATATTGTTTGAAAATCAAACATAAGAACATAGACATTTAAAAAAGTTGTGGTACTATTTAAATTGATCTCAAAATTATTGTTTTTCTTCAAATTTTTGAGAGAAATCAGCATAATTTATACCTAATATTGTATAGTGTTTATGAAATACATTTTAAAATCTTTGCAGACAAATGCATTTAGGGCTTGTTGGTGGCATCTTTTTCATGATTTGGATTGATATTCAGTGCTGATTTATGGCAAGATTACTGGGTTTTTGTTTACTTTTCAGCCAACATTTTGACTTTTTAATCAGGACACTAATTAAAATATTCATTTGAATTAAGCCTCCAAAATTTTTAAAAGAGTTTTGTTTTCTACAGAACTATATTATATATGTAAATATTTGTGAGCTTTTGACGATTTTTCAAATAGGACAGAATTTATTTATAAAATATTTCGGTCAGATTGCTTGTTTATTAATTACTTCCTGTGTCAGTTAGAATAAGGTCAGTTGGGTATCACAAGACAAAGGTAAAGGTGCCTTAAACACAAGGGTTTATTTTGTATAAAGAATCTTGGAAGTGACCGGTCTTTTGTGACAGCTCCACTGACTTACCAGGAACTCTGCTGCTTCTCTCCCAGCCCCTCGTGGGTCAGAGTGGCTGCTGAGCTCCAGCTGTCGCGTGAGCATCAGAGACAGCAGGAGGGAGGGTTGGGGCTGTACCCTGCCATCCAGAAATAGCACCAGAAAGTGCCACTTGCACCACGCTAAGTTGCCAGGAGTGCTGGGAAATTCAGCTTAGGTTTTATTTATTTATTATCTTTTATTATTTTTGCTAAAGCGGGGTACATTGCCGCCACCAAGTAGTGGGATTTCTATGGGTGAGAAAGAAGAGGGAATGCTCTCCCAGTCTCTGCACTGCCTCCCTCTACTCCGCGACTCTCCCCGCCCCCGGTCATAGTTGTGTCATGGTCTTGGCTCTTGTCTCTTAGCTAAGGAGTTCTCCACCTGGGGTGACTTTGTCAGACTGCGGGGGCTGCTACTGGCATCTAATGGGCTGCTGACCATCCTGCGTACACAGAACTGCCTCCCAGAACAGAGTTGCTGGCCCTCCATCTCAGCATTGCTGAGACCCTCCCTTATCCAGATGAAGCTTTGCTTACATCGTGTTGCAATGAGAGCCATGAGATGTCACAAGAGTTCATCTCAGTTGTGTACCTACATACTAACTGAACATACAATCTGTGTAGGGAAATTGATTTTTAAATAGTAGCAATGATTAATTTATGAGACAAAAGTTATAACCTCTTACAATCTTTACCAGTGGTGGCTTTCATCTTGGGCTGTATGTATGTCTTCATAAAAATAAATGAAATTTTCAGTCATGGCACATTAAATAATATTGTCAGTTTGGGTCTCTAGTTAAGATATTATCTATTAATTGGTCCTCCTGGAAATATTCTGGGAAAGGTAATCTCTTCACTCTTCTGTTAAAGGAAGCTGAGCGAATGCTTCAAGTTGGAGAGGAAACTGTGCACCTTCCATTTGAAGGGGGAAGCCTCTTGCAGATTCCAGTGAAGGCCCTAAAATATAGGTGAGATACAACTTTATCTTGTGAAACGTGCTTCGCAGACGTGTCAGGTGTATGAATAAGTCATGCAATGTGAAACCTACTTTTTAAAAGATGACAAAACCTACATCTGGTGTGTGAGCTCAAGGAAGGCTTCCTACAGGTGGACGAGGAAGTCTCTCGCTCCTTCCCTCCCCAGTTACAGGCAGGAGTGAAGGAGACCTTGGCTTCCTGGCCAAGCAGACGAGATTTTCTTGTCTTTCATCACTCCTCCTGTTTCAGTGAAGTTTGAATTAGTCCTAGAATTTCCCCATTCTCTCAGTAGTACAGTTTTTTTTTTTCCCCTCTGCCCTTCCTTAGGGCTGGGCTCAGTGTGTGCTGGAAAGTAAACATTTATAATCCATTTTCTGATAACCTTCCATTATGTAGCTATGTTTAAAAGAGGCCTTAAAACCCTCCTGCAGGTTTCCAAGGTGCAATTTGACCTTTGGTAGTGAGAGCTCATATTAGGGAAAAACTAACGTTTCATACATAATTCACCATGTATAATTCAGGTGATTTGTATTTAAATTTAAGAACTAAATATAAAGGTTGGAAAGTGTAAACTTTTCAGCAAGTTAAAAGCCTGTATTATTTATGTAGACATCTGAATCTTATTTCTACACATTTATTCCATTCCTAGCTAGCTAATTATAGTAGAAACATCAGTTTTAGAATGTACATAGGTTCCTTTCTTGACCAGTTAATGAAAAATGTTTGTTGGTGTTTAATTAACTTGATTTAACCTTCTTTCATTTTAACTAATCTTTATGGTTTTTAGAGGTAGCATTTGGACTTGTCCATATCGATTAGTTTTGATAAATGAATTTACAAGTAATTTTCTTTTAATGGTTTTTACTATTAATTTTCATCATTGCTGTTATTCTTTGTCACCTTTCGTGATTTTCCCTCAAATTTTGATACACTTTAAGTGGCCAGTGTAGACATCTTGATATATGCACGTACAGTGCTCTGCCTCTGTAGCTTCTGTAAATGTTTGCTAAATGAATTAATGTATTGGCTTTGTTGCTAAAAAGAGTATAGAACCTGCCAGGATAGTTACTAGTGACCCATCAATGTGCTGGGATTGCCCCTTAGTTTCTGTAGGTCGCACGTCACCGCTTTCTCACTGTGATGACACACGTTAGTGGAGGCCATGCTTACACTGTCTGATATTTAACAAAAAGAATGGGCATATGTATATTTACTGTTGTCTGGGAAGTGGTGACGTGAGCCACGATTAATGCTGCTTTACTTAAAACTTGAATATCCAGAATGTCAGGAATTGGCTGACCTGTTTCTCTGCCGGACTGTTAAATCTTAAGTAGCTTTGGATGACGTGCCATGAAAATGAAATGAGGTAACCCGTGGAAGCACTGAGAAACTGTAAACCACTATAAAATATGAAAATTATTTAATGTAGACACAGTTTTTCCCCATCTAGTTTTATTTTGGGGAAAAACAAATACATACTTCCTTCAAAAAAGGTCTCAGTTTCTGCTAATGGGAAAGTTCTTGCTTAGAGAAGACATTCAGAAGCCAGGAAGGGCTTCAGGAATTTTCTCTCTTCAGTTCCTTGACGTTGGTATCTGAGCAAAGAAACATTTCCTTGGGGTAGACAGAGTTTCCAGTGGGATGGCTCTGCCGTGGTGAATCTGAGCTTTCAAATTTGTGCACTTTTAAAAACTTGGTGAAGCAGCCGTTCCTGGACTCCCCAGTGACCGTGGCTGTCTTCTGTACAGACTTCGGTTGTAAACAACACGCGGATTTGACGTATGAACAAAGCCAGCACTTTCTAAATGACCGCTGTTTAGTGATTTATAACCCGGCTGCCATCACCTTGTTAATTTAACACCTAATTCGACATTTGTATTTGTTGCTTATTGGCATGAAATGTTTTCCTTTTGGTGAAGAAAAAAGGCTTGCAAATATATTTCTATTAACTTCCTAATACTTTCTTGTTACTTGTGACTGACAACCTTGAGCCCAAAATTATTTATACATGGCTTTGTTATTGGATTTGGGGTTTTCAAGTAATTTTTGCAATATTTCATATAGACATGGAATGGGTATGTTTGTTGCTTATAATGAAAGGACAGTATTTTGCTCTTTGGATTTTGATAACTTTTGTATAGTGACACTGTGATACTAAAATTATTAGTGATATGGTTACACCAGCCAAAACTGGTACTTATAAACCCTTTTTTGTGTTATCTGTTGCAGTGTTTTAATTTCTAATTTTGAAGTGTCATGTTTTATGAAATTCTTTTTTAATGATTTTCTAAAAGCTATGAAAAAGTCTTTTAAAAATCATAATGTTAATTTTTCTTTTTATATTTTGCATATTTGTTTGAAATTGAATTTTGTGCAGACTATAAAAGTTTTCTAATTGATTTGAGGCTGTACTGCTTTTAATAATTATAAGCACATTAATTTGTTCTTTTATGTCATTTTAATAGTATCCACATAGTCAAGATAATCACCTGGGGGCATAATTGTCAGTTTAATTAGTCTTATTCCTAGTTTTGATTATACAGAAAAATGCAGTTCCCTGTGAGACCTTTACAGTAGAATTCCAAAATACTGATATCTTGCTAGACCTTGTTTTAAGTGCACGGCAAAGAGTTTTCTCAGTTTTAAGTTGATGAAAGCAAATATTATATAGAGAATAAGAATGACGGTATTAATGCTTTTGCAAGTACTGAATACTAACCAGAAAGTGTATTTGTTCTTCAGTGTTGATCCCTCAGTTGTTAACATATCAGATGAAATGGCCAAAACTGCCCAGTGGAAGGCCCTGTCCATGAATACTGAGAATGCCAAAGTAACCAGAGCTAACGCGAGGTAGCTGTGACCATTTATGCATTTTCTAACTATAGCCGACTTTCAGTTTGCTTATGGATAGCTATCAGTAAAATCATTAAATTTAACTCAATTCACATGATTTATATTCTCCTAACTTAACAAAACCAACCTTCTTTTCTTCCTTCTTCCTTTCACCCACCCACCTCTCCATCACTTAACTGTATACTGGAATCAGATACAGGTACCGATTGTTTCATTATTTTTCTTTATAGTTGCTTATCTCAGAAAAGAATTGGAGTTATTGTATAATAAAAACGAATATATGCATATCGAATAAATATATAAAAGATCAGAAACCATATCAAGAAAGATAATTACTAGGGACTAAATACTAAAATAGAACACTACCTCAGTCACACGTCCTGATGGTCCAAGAAAAAAAGACCTTCTTTGGTTTCAGCCTGCTATTTCTTCCAGCGAGATAAACATTTTCCTAGAAGATGTTTGTAAGAAATTGAATCCACACATAAGACAGGCCATTCAGTTTCATAACCGACCATGTATTACACACCTGTTTCATGACCCCTTCCTTACATTTCTTGTTACGTAATAACACTTGTTTCTTTTCCCCTCACTTCACGACCTCAACCTCAGGAATTCTGGCTTGATGATCATTAGTACTTGAATCCCGTAGGTCACTAGAGAAATGAGGTGTTATCCTGTAGGGCGCTCAGTCATTCATAGTCCACAGATACTTATTTTGTGCACACTTTGTGTCCGACACTGTGCTGGGTGTCGGTATGTTCTGTTTGGGCATCAGATCAAAAACCTTCCCAGGCCAGCAGTCGCTCGCATAGCTGTTTCTGTTTAGTTATTTCTGGAGACAGTCTTTTGATAATGATCCATTGGGCTTCTCTGCATGCTTCTCGAACCTTGCTCCTACTTCATCTCTGTTATTCTTTTCTGTCATCATTTCTTTCTTGAGTTGTAATTCTCTAAGCTGGACTGTGTCCTTCCTTCACTTCTATCTTTGATCTCAGACATTTTTAACTTAAACAGTTTGTCATTTTGGGTGATTCCATGCAGCCAGAATTTCACTGGATGCTCTTTTGACTCTTAGTAATTTTTCACGCCTTGTCAGCACCCCTGGTCCAGAATGTTAGTATATTAGGATGAATGCAAAAACTGTACAGTACTGTTATTCTGTCTTCTGTACTCCTGCCTTTCATTCAGCTTGCCCCTTAATTCAGAATCACACGGGAAGAAAGAAAATGTTTGGTTATGTTGTTCAACAGAAAAATGTTTGGGGTATCTTTCAGTTTTGTCTGGAGAAGGTGGCAAACCATAGCATGTATTTTATACTTTGGAAAAATTTTCAAAGCCCAGATATTCATGTTACAGTTAAATCAATTAATCAGATAAATCCATATACGTGGAATCATTATATTCAATATTAACTGGAAAATGTAGAATATGTATTTTGATCTTGTATTTGTGAACCAAATTTGGGGAGGCAAAGTTTGTAAATTTGTTACATTTTGCAGGAAATCACTTGATGCTTATCTGTATTAACAAAGATTAATTTTTAATGAATTCGTCAGTAAAACAAAAGGCAAATGCTACAGCTGTTCATATAGAAAGTAAAATGAATAAATGAGACATAGCCATCATATACTGATCAATTTTAAGGCGCTCTCCTTCAGTTGTAAGAAAAACATGAATTTCTGTGGCAAAAATACCTATTAAAAAAACTAAGACTTTTTCATATTTGCTTTTCCAGTTAAGTTTACTGATATGAAAAGACAGCAGTAAGACAAGACAGTAATAGCAGGTCACGTGTTTATGTATTAATAGTCATCTCAAAATGCTGTTCCAGGTGTTTATTACCGACCGTGTTTACAATGTAATATTTGTCCCTTTCAAAATCATTTATTCTCCTTCTTTGTTTTAAATAGCCCCGAAAAACCTCTAAGTGTGAAAATCAGTTTTGAAGATGAACCAACAAAGAAATACATGGATGCCGAAACTTCATTATAGAATTGAACCAAGAGGAAGTATATAGAGAGATACAGAGAGAGCTATATATACACAGATGCGTGTGTGTTATATAATGTGTGTATTTCATGTCACTGTATATAGAACAGTATTGTGTGTCATGCTGCTGATGCGTGACTGCTGGGCTTTTTGAAGTAGTGTGTGAAGTTTCTTAGGAGCACCCTGGGGACCGTGTATATAATGAAATGGTCTCTTGGAAGTGAGGTACATGGTTCTTACTACTCAAATATTTATCCTGTTGGAAAAATTTTTATTTCTGTTCTGTAATAGAAAAATGTAGGGGAAAGGCATTCAGTCTACTTTTCTTTAAAGTCTGTTTATCAGTGACAGTTCCTACCAACCTTAAGCGATACGTATTTTGTCCATAAGTCTAAAAGTTTTCGTTGCGTTAACTAGAAATTTTCACGTTAGTTCCCTTGTGCGAGTGCTTCGTGGGAAGGACGGGGAGTCTCCGGGAGTGCCAGGCGCGCATCCTGGCGTGTCGTGGCTGCTGTGTGTGTGTTTCGCCGTGTACATGTCCATGGTGTTTCACAAGCAAGGGGAACTTCTTGGCCGTAGCGGTAGAACAGTGGAAACTTCCTAGAAAAGAACTGTAATTGTGACTTTTATAAAAGTTTTAAAAATTAATTTTAAATCTTAAAACCTCCACATCTAGGTTTCCATTCTGATAGACAAGCAAAATTGCAGGTGGTTTTTTTCTTTTAATGTAACCATCATACCAGTCATTGCTTTGTGAGTTTTAGAAGCTATAAAATACCAATTTAGAGCAGTTAAATTTTGTTGCCTTTGTAGAAATGCTTTTTTGAGTCCCAATGCTTTATTAGAGCCCCGAATGCCCGCTCTGTTCCCTGCCTTTGCTGTCTTTTACTTAAAATGTGGTTTTGTTTGTATCAGGTTCAAGTTTTTGATTATTTTTCTATTATAAGTAGTATGATTTAAGTAATCAGGAGTCAGATTTCTCTTAAGTGGGTTTATGATCAGTATTAACTTTATTAAGAATTACTTTTCATTTCTGTGTATGTTGTTCCTTCTGTTGTATAGATATTTAATAGATTGTTATCTGTGATTTCATTTTAAAATATTTTATTTATTTTAACTGATATGACGCTTAAATATTATACATTTGAAAAGGTAACAAATATAGAGTAAACTGTTAATGTAAATAGTTGGTGCTCACCTGCATCTATGGTTTATTATATGAAAGCTGTCAGTAGATTTTACATCTTTGCTATAAAGCACTGCCATATTTGTATTTTAAAGGAAATTTAGACTTGTTATGTATAGCTCAGATCGATGACTTTCTTCCTATTTTGTGTTTCTGTTAGACTTCGCTTTTCTGAGCTGTGTTTTTAACTTATAGCAAGTCTTTTTAGTCATCTTTTATATACTTTTAGCTCCACATTAAATAAATAAATGTTCTGGTTAAGCCTGTAGGACTGGATGAATGGGGTTGTGAAACTGGTCTGGCGAGAGGATGTCTAAAAACCAAGTGAGTGTTGAGAAGCCACTGAAATGTTGAAAATAATAATATGAATATTAGGATGGAAATTTTAATGAAATTCCAATTCTCCCTTTAATCATTTGCCATTAAAGTACAAAAGTATGAAAAATCCATCTTACAGCGGATCATGGGAACGCCAAAAGCTGGTATTTCAACAGCTCTGGCAATCCATTCTCAACCACTTAGCTAGTATAATTTCCACACCAGATTCTCTGATTCTAGTTAAAAAAACGGATTCAACTTCTGCCTCATACGGGAGGGTGGAAAGCTAGCGGATTTTCTGCAGAAAATAAAGCTGGCGTAAGGAAGAGTGAAACTGTCGGCTGCTGGTAACAGAGTGTCACCCACGGTGCTTCTTACTGTTTCGGGGCGTCCCCTGAAGTGAGTCCTTTTCATTCACAGCAGCGCAGTTGGTTCCAAATACCCCAGTGTTTGCTGCTGTGATTTTGTAAAGTCCCCGAGGAACCGGCGCAAGAGGATTTCCTCGCATCACTTCCTGTGTCTGGACATCACAGGGTCAACAACTGGGCTTATTTCACAGGAAATGATTTTAAAATTTAAACTGAAACCTACCTGGGATCATAGTGGCGATGTGATTTTAATGAATTATGAATACCAGTGGTCTTGTCTGTCCGGTGCCAGAAAAACCATGACTTGCAAAATGCTTTGCACTCAAAATGTTTGTACTATGTTCCTGATTGTTCATAGTTTCTGCTTTCTTTTGACTACTTGACTCACAAATCATCTGATGTGACTACTCCATTGAAAAGCAAAGGTAACTCATATTTTAAGTCCTTGCTTGTTTTATGTGGCTGTGATGTATTCCCACTGTTTTTGAGAAATAACGATCATGGATAGCATTCACTGAAAGACAGTGAAAATATGACTTACTACATACATTGATTTGTAAATGTTGCCTTGAACAGGCATACACGAGCAGCAGTAATTGCGATGCACTGATTTACCTCAAGGTGCAAGAGAACGAAACCTGTACATAGTCCATTGATACAATAAATTCATATAAACAGCCCTGCACTTTCTCAGATGCTCTGGTCTCCAGGGTGGAGCTTCGTGCTGGTGAGACCCTGGCTGCAGAGCCACCTCAGGGTGTTCTTTCCTCCACCCATTTTATTTATTTACAGATGTCTGTTTACAAAGACTGTAACACATCCTCATGCTGACCATCTAAAATTTACTTTCTTTTGAATGCTATTTCACTCTAAAATTGCAGCTTCAAGACAACAATGAACTAAGACCTTGCTTAGGATGAGAGGATGATGCTATGCATGCTCTAATGATGTTAGAGATGCAGAATGAGGCACACGGTCTTACTGATGGGTGTGTGTACGTGTGAGTGTGTTTGTGTGAATGACGTCAATCGCAAATCCCAAGTCGTTTAAAAAAGCTGTGGCGTATCATTGTTCATATTTGCCAAGTCTGTAAAATGTGTAGGATGGCATTTTGTAGTGTGCTAATGCGTGTATTTATAAAGCTGATTTCTTTACCACTCAAAATGATTAACTTTTGTTTTCTCCATCAAAAAAAATACTTGTTTCTTCCACATACCTGCAGTTTCTGTGTATCTATAATAGCTTTGTAGCTTTTTCCTTTTGCAAAGGCAGGTTCAAAATTCTGTAAAAGAAAAAAATGGTCTCTGACACAGATGTATGACACCAGAACTTGCAGTTTTTAAATGATCATGTTATGTACATCAGTTCTGTAAATGGGCTCAACAGTATAGCGTGTGAATCCTGTTTTAAAGTGCTCTGATTTCAGATATGTAAGCCATTGATAGAACATTGTAATTAATTCAGAAATGTTTAAATTAAAATAATTTAATGTTTTAAACTTATTTATGTAGATCACATCATTGCTGTTGTATGCAGTAGAACTATGTGAAACATCTTTTGGTTTAGTCCAACAATTATTTATTTGTGAGAAGTAAACATAAGGCTTTAAGGAGATTCACAATTTAAAATAGTGTTCAAAATTTGGCAGTTTTAAGGTAAAGTTGGTTCTTTTCTAACTTTTTAAAAAGTGTCAATAATAGGAAAGCATAGTTGAAGGTGGAATCATCTATAGATCATTTACACATATAAATTAACTAGCATATACTGACTTCTACAGTTGACTTAGAGTAATTGTTAAACCCCACTTGTTTTTTTAATCAGATTTTTGTGTGTTGATTGATTTTTCTGTTGTGGCTTTTCTTTTGTGAATTTCATATTAAAAGTTTTGTGTTTTTTTTGTTTTTGTTTTTGTAGGGGGTTTATCTTTCCGTGTTTACTATGTTAAATTAAATAGAAATGGAATTTTATTGTTCATTTATACAGTATTTGATAGCTTGGTATAATAAGAACAGTACAGTTCTAATTTTTATGACTTTTATAATTACAATGATAATATTTTCTTTTGTAATAAAATCCAAAGTAAAGTAAACATTTAAAATGTAGAACCGATATTTTTCATTTATCTGAAATACAAATATCTACCAAGTCTATAATGTGAATAATCCTGCTTTTCAAATCTGTTTCATAATATTGGAAGAAAACTATTTTTGGGAAATGTTACTGAAGTCAAAAGAGCAATAAAAGTACTGACTCAGTCGCTGAATATTGTCTTTACTTTAAGATTAGAAGAGCTGCATGTCTTTCTCATGAGAAATCAGTTTCTATTTCCAGCTTCCTAATATCATGCGCTTCAGTAAGCAGGACACAGAAAAGAGGAAACAGTGAGAAAAGAAGATGAAACAAAATCGTGTTTCACAACGACTTCCTTTCTTTCCTTTTGTTTTCAAACCTAACATAAATTTATTTCGGGGGGAAGTACAGTCATTTTACAGATACAGGAATACATTCAAGCCATCAGGGCAGTACCAAAAAATGCTACTTCAGTTATTTGAGTAATACATCTGTATTTTTCTCTTACTGACTTGTATCACAGTGACTTTCTGATAGTTAAATATTGAAATTGAAGCCCTTGAAGATAGGCTAGTCCATTCTTTCCCCTATTTTTAAGACACACCTGTTCAGAATTTTGCATTGTGTTGTGTAATGAACACACATCACATGATGTGTAATGAACATGTTAATACTAAACTCTCACAGACTCAAGTCTTGTTTTTCTTCTCTGTTTTTAATTTCATTATGAAATTTTTTTAGTAATAGCAAATGGCAGTACTAGGTTTGTTTTCCACTAGGCATGTCTGTAACACTTCCCTCCTGTGTTTTCTGCACCATAACTTTAGCTTCTGCTACCCCACAATGAATTTGATACCCTTTGGGAGTGAAGTGGGACAAGCTGCTTACTGGTTTTGGAAATTTCATCTGAAAGTTTTGCTTACATTTACTTTAGGGAAAAATATTTCTGTCAACTTACTATTCTCATCTACAGAACTTTGGGGGGGATGTGTGTGTGAGACAGAGTTGGGGGTGGAGCCAAGAAAGGAGATAATGAATTTCTCAACTCATTTTGGCTTGATCTGGCTCCTTAAGGCATATCTGATCTCTCCAGTGTCAGTTCTGTGACCTTTACATTCCTGCCTCTAAGCTTGTAATGAAAATATTCCTCTTGTTTGGAGAACCTTCCTTTCTATTTCTCTGCTACCCTTTCAAAGCTCAATTTGAGTTGCGCTTTTTCTTTGGATTGTGCTCGGCCTCGTCCTTTGTTCTGTACAAGCATTCTTATGCCTCCACTCCAAATGTGTGTGTGTTTAAAATCCCGTATTTTGGGTTTTGTTTCAGTCCTAGACCAGTAGGGGGTCTGTTAGAAACATGGGGAATTGTTTTTGTCTTCATGCTAAGTCGACTTTGAATATTTATCTCGTCCAATACCTACCTGAGTTACTTTCATTTGTTCCTTATGTTATAGTTATGACATTATACTGTTTAACCTTTGAACCATCTAATTTACATGACTTGTGAATTCACTTCAGGATAGTAAAAGGGGTATTCAGCAACAGGAGGAAGGATGTTCGGTCTTACAGATTTGGACCCCACCACATAACCTGGGTGCAAGAATGACCCCTTTGGTCGTGTATATTTATCGAGTTCCAGAGCAGTGTGGGGGCCCTCGCAGGTGGAGGTGATGGTGCACCTCTCCTCCAGAGCCCAGTGTCTCATGCCACTTAGTCATCTGTGCCACTTCCAGTTATTGCAGGGAAGGCCGGAACAGTAAGTTTATTTTGTTATTAAGGAAAAGGATGGAAAGCACATTCAATACTCTGATGAAGTTCAGAGGGGTAATTTTGTCTCACTGCTTAATATTTAAAACGTCTGTAGAGAATACTTTTTCTCCTCGGCATAAGTCTGCCCTCCCCTGTCAGCTTTTTTTGTGTTTTATGGGTAACATTATTCCTGCTGGCTTTATGGTCTCTGAAGCTTAATTAGTTCTGCTATATTCATCTGAGTTTGACTTTCAGTTCACCTTTCTGTATTTCCAAAGTGGAAACTTACTATTTTAGTTTAGAAAAGGTGTTTTCAATTACTCAAACCTAAGTGTTGTCCCATTGGGCCGACTTTTCATTATTATTCAAAGCAGAGAAACATTAGGGACGTGTTCTGTGTATTCATCTTAAATCAAGTTTTGGGACATTTAATCACCGCGCTAACTGACCTACCAGTGGGCATCGGAAGGGATAGTAAGATGGGGTTGAGGAAGCCCTATGCTTAAGGAAATTGTCAAGGGAGAGGCGTGGTGATTAAGCCTAGGCTCTAAATTGAAACTGTGTCAGATTCTACCCTGACTCCATGGCTTACTAGGTCTGCCATGTTGAGCCTCCATTTTACAATTCCAGGGTGAAAAAGAACCAGATGATGTGAAGAGTAAGGGAAACAACAAGGAAAAGGGTTTTGAACAGTCCCTGGCACAAAATAAGCATTCAGTATGTTTCGTTTTTCAAAGCTTTATAATGTGAAGTTGTTTTGCTTTTTTTTTGTAAAGAAAAAATCTTTAATACAATTCAAACTTCAATAAAAAGAAGCTTCGGACTTCCATAGAAGGCAGAGAGACTTGCCCAAAGCCACAAAACGCAGTAGTGACAGGTCACACAGGTCGCCCTTGCTTTTACTCTGCCACATCCCCGTCGCCCGAGGCATGCGGTGCGCCCGAGCAACTGAAAATGTTTGCACCTTAACTGCAGCTTAAATGAAAGCTATTTAGCATGCGGCATTGCACCTTTTCAAACTATATCTCTGCTTTGGAAGAGAAGTGATTTTTAGTCCATAGGAATTTTTGAAGTTGAACAGCCAAAGACGAAGCTGCGCGTCTCCAGCCATTTTAGTTCAAACGCTAGAGGCGGGCGCACCAAGTCTAGAAGCGCCGACGGTCCTAGGAGCCCTGTGCACCAGCCAGCAGCGCCGGCTCGGGCTCCCGAAGCGCCGCCTCCTCCCCGCGGCGGCCGGGCTGCGGGAACAGCGCGTGCTGCGGTTGCTACGGCAACCTGAGGCTGGCGTCCCCGTCGCTATGGCGCCCGGCCGGCCGCAGCACGGCCGCCTCTGATTGGCTGAGTGCCCGGCCGGCGGAAGAAGACGGGTCGCCATTGGCTAGGCCGCGCCAGTCGCGGGCCGGAAGGAGGACTTGATCGAGAAGCCAACGGTGCGGCTGGCACGGTGCCTCGAGTTTGCCGGGACCCGGCGTGGGCCGCGGGGAGTGTGACAGCAGCAGAGACAATGAGAAGGACGACTTCGGGCTTGGCCTGAAGGAGGGGCCCTCCTCGGGCGCGGTGAGTGGCGCAGGAGCGGACGTTCCTCGGTCTGCGCGCGGTTTCAGGCTGGGTCTCCAGGGAGATGCCCGCAGGTGTTTGCGGAGCAGCCCGGGGCTCCGGCCTGAGCTTCCCTCGGCGGGAGGCGAGGCTGAGAGTGCGGGCTGTCGCGGGTAGGGGCGTCACTGTGAGCCTGTCTCGTAGCAGGTGGGTTCGCGGCGGGCGGATGGATGGTGGGAGAGCGCTGTCGACCATGTTTGATGGTCTTTTCAGTTCGATGAAGGACTCTGGTTACATGGAGGCTGAGTGTTTCCAGTATGCCCCTAGCCCTCTGGAAGTTCATTCACAGAACCGTTTATGGGCGTCGCTTCTCTGCCTTCCCCTCGTATGCAGCTGCTCTGTCCCTGCGCTTCCCTGCTCCACGTGGGTGAGCCTGTTCAGGCCCATGCCCTCTTCAGGTATCATGTGTCTGCTGTGGACCGGAAAACCTCCACCTCAAGCCTAGGCTGCTCCACTAAGCGACAGACCCTCAAACCCAGCTGCTAGTTAACTGTACACATGTGCACCCTAAACATGCCCATAGAGTGCCTCGCCTTTGAATTCCCTACCTTGGGCATCACCATCTACTCAGTTACGGGAACCACATCTGGACAGCATCTTCGGCACTTCCTGCCTCTTCTGCATTTCCATCAGTTATCACGGCTCTACCTTCTTAATAGCTGCCAAATCAGTTTCCACATGACCACCTCCATTCTCACTGTTGTCATTGCCACCAGTTTCTTGGTTAAATTCAACACCCATCCGGCTTCCTGGATGGCAGTTTGGCCCTATCCAATCCATTTTTCTGTTTATTGTTAGACTGATCTTTATATAAAATATATATATAGGCATTTCACTTCCTGCAAAGATTCCCATTCATCCCCACCCAAACTCTGTAGTTAGGCTTTGCATCAGTGGTTCCATGTTGTTTGTTCCCAGAACGTCCTGCAGTCTCTCCTGTTTGTGGAGGTTTCCCCTATTGCTCATGCTGCCTGCAGTGGACTCCACTTTTGCACCTTCCCCAGTGCTCTGCCTCCCGAGTCATTCTCTGTGTGTTGCCCAGTTACTTTTCTGCTTCCTCCTCTAGGCTCTCTCTGTGAGGGCAGAGGCCAGGTTCGTCTCACTCACCATTTGTTTTATCTATCACAGTAGACCACACAGTGCACCGAACAAATACTGGTTAAATGAATGAATCTCTAAAAGGAGAGGTTACTGTTTGTCATGTGAAGATTTTCCTTTTGCAAGATGAATGTTGAATTGACAGATTTTGTTTTGATTTCAAGATCCTTGGTACTGGAAACTATTTCAATGCAGTCTGAATTTCATACTATATCATTATAATGGTAGCTGTTGTTAAATGGCATAAGTTTAACACAGGAAACAGAGAGAGTACAGAATAGTTTGCAAGGGATAGGCTTTGAATAGGACATACGTGGGTTTGAATCCCAGCTTCAGCCTTTTAGCTCTTTGGCCCTTTCTTTATCTGTGGCTTTTTTTTTAATTGAAGTATACTCAGTTACAGTGTGTCAATTTCTGGCTTCTCATTTGGTAAAATGATTGCTCATACATACCTAGAGGTCCGGTTTCCCTTCATCTCAGCTGAAAACTCTGGAACAGTTGTAATAAAGGTCATGCACTCAAGTCCACAGAGTTGGCTCAAGTCAGAGCTTATTCAGTCTTGTCTTAGGAATAAAGTTGACATGAGGTCTAGCTTCACAGCCCTCAGCAGAGTCCACTCAACGAAATGACAATCAACAGGTCTTGGCTGGGACGTGATGCTGTACACCAGAAATTGACGTGTCATAACTGACTATACTTCAATGAAACAAAAAGAGAAACAAAATGACCATCAAATGGCACCTATTACTCTAGTAATAGAGTAATAGAGACTAAAAATCTGCCTCTAAAAAGTGAAATAAAAACAAAAGGCAGATGGATAAAGTCCAGCAGCCATAACATTGATCCTGGGCCATTGGGGAAAAGTTACAGAAGGATTTAGTGTATTTTGCATCAACGACAAGGAATTGTTAATTAATTGGGGGAAATGGTGGGAAGTAATATTTGACTATTAAAGTGGTGAACATTTATCTAGAAAATTCACTTAGGCAAGTAGAGAGCTGGATAAATGCTACCAATAAGTAAGACTAACACGGGAGGCTCCGCTTGGCTTTATTTTTATTTATTTATTTAACATTTTTTTGTTTGTTTTTGCTTTTGGCGGGGGAGGTAATTAGGTTTGTTTGTTTGTTTGTTTATGTACGTATTTTACTGGAGGTGCTGGAGATTGAACCCAGGACCTCGTGCATGCTAACTAAGCATGGCTACCCCTGAGCTATACCTGGCTTTAAATTCCTGTTCTGCCCACCAGGGGTTTAAAGCTCTATGACTTGGGCTAGTTACTTACGCATTCGGGGCCTCAGTTCCCCCATCTGTAAAACGGGGACCGTAAAGGTAGCTGCCTTTACTGGTAGTTACATTGGTTAATGTATGGAAAGCAATTAGAGTGTATGGAAATCTATGGAAAACGTTTGCTTTTATTATTGTTGTTATTATTACTGGATATGACATCTTGGCCAAGTTACTGAAACTCAATGCCTCAGTTTCTTCATCTGTAAGTTGGAGATACAACATCACCCCGTCACAGGATTGTTTTGAGGATTAAACAAATACATGAAATCCTAAATAATGTCAGGTGTAACAAATTGAAATGAAGCACGTGACACTAAAAATACGACCTTCTTTTTCATTTTATGTCTAGTATTTGTCATCAATGACTCAAGCCAGTGAATATAGGAAAATGATTTAAAGTCAGCATGACAAGCTCTAAAAGCTGAAGTAATAGTAATATTACCAAGGATCATATTCACAACTGCTGTCCTGATCACAACTTAAATAGCTAGGGACCATTTTAAAAGAGTTTTCACCTTATTTCATTTAGTTCCAACACCATCTTATAATGGGGATATAATCATTTCTATTTGTTGGTAAATGAGGAAACTAAACATCAGAGGGGCCCGGGGACTGTCTGAGGTCACTCAGCGGGCGAGTGGAAACCAGGTCTCCTCCACCGGTGGCCCTCCTTCAGGCTGCATCCCCGTGGTGTAACAGGAGGAAATCACATTCCCAAACCTGTTGGCTCTCATCAGTGGAGACCCCAGCGTTCATAGCATGTGTCTGCTACACTTGCTCATCTTTAGGAAATTATATTGTCCTATTCTCGAGGTCGCCTATATGTAGCACGGATATCTTCCTTTGTGGCTTCCTTGTGTTCATAAAGAGATTTTTGTCAAGCCAACATTCTGGGCTAACTGGATACTGGTTGTCAGCCGGGGCAAACTTACCCTCTGCTGATGATTTTTTCCGTGTTAACGATGACACTCCGCTTATACCTGGAACTCCCCCAATCACTTTGTAAAGATTAATTACTTAATTTTATTTTGTGGGAAGGTAATTAGACTTTTATTTATTTACTTATTTTAATGAAGGGACTGGGGATTGAACCCAGGACCTTGTGCATGCCAGGCACACACTCTACCCCTGAGCTATATAACAAGGTCCTCACCCCTATCACATTTCACTTGTTCATTCACTCAGCAATCTTTTTTTTTAAGTTTGTTTTGGAGGGGTAATTAGGTTCATTTATTTATTTATTTAGTGGAGGTCCTGGGGAATTGAACCTGGGGCCTCATTCATGCTAAGCATGCGCTCTACCACTGAGCTATACCCTCGCCCCTCACTCAGGAATCATTTATTGAACACTTCTGTTATAAACCAGCAATGCAGTGCTGAATGCCCGGGATGAGGAAACTGGCCATCTTCCCCAACCAGGACTAGTTTACAGTAAACTAAATGAGGAAGGTGTGTGTATTCGTTGAACTGTTGCCTGCATCTGCCCCTTCATTAAGAGCCGCGAGGCAGTGGCTGGTGGGGCTGTGACCTCTTCAAGGAGGTCAGTGAAAATCTCCTTAAAGAATGGATACATGATTTGAGACACGATGGATGCTGAGAGAAATGAGGGCTCAACTGGTCAGATTTGTACCACAAAAAGGGTCCTTTTGTTGCTGCATGGAGAACAGACTTGTTGGGAAGAGAGAGAAATTTCTCCCGAGAGGGTGGGAGTCCATTTGGGAAGAGGATACTGTGGTGCAGGTAGCGATGGTGTCAGTGAGGGATCTGCAGTGAGGACGGAGAGAAGTGGGCAGACAGGGACTGTATGGAGGAGAGAAATCGTGACCAAAAGAGTAAGGGGGTGAGGAGGAGAAGTGGCATCTTCGAGGTTCATGCCAAAGCGCTGTTCTTGGTTTCAGATACTGAGATTCTTTCATTCCTGTAGCCTCGGAGACCGCCGTTGCCCACCTCTTTCCAGACGCCATCGCATCCCATTTCATGAGCCTTTCCGTAGCTCTTGCCTCAGCCCACAGTCATTCCTTAAATTCATTCAATATACCATCTCCTTTGGAACCTAATTTTCTCTCTTTTTGTGTTCTTATTTCTAGTATTCTTATTGAATCTCTTGTATTAGGCTGAACCATAAGAAAAAAATTTTTAAAGGCCCAATATCAGCAATTTCATGTTATTTAACCTACATATTTATGATCTCCCATACATGCTGAGTTGTGAATAGTTTTTTGCTTTTATTCTTGGTGGGGGGAGGTAATTAGGTTTATGTGGATAGATTTTTTTTTTGCAGCGCCCAGTAAGATCTTGTGCATAGTCAGTAAATTAAACATGCACATAAAAATAACCCTAATGGAAAAAATATGAAAAAAAATATATGTACGTATATGCATGACTGGAACAGTGTGCTGTACACCAGAAATTGATACATTGTAATTGACAGTACTTCAATTAAAAAAAAACCATGCCCATAAAATGCAATGTTATTAGAGGAAACAATTTTATTTTATGGCTCAGAAAGTAATTCTAGCTTCTTGCAGTGCCGCCAGTTGTTAGGAACCTGTGTTTACCCAGTGTTCGCTTCA